TGCAAACGACGGAAGGCCGCCGTCTACGTCCCCCGGCTCCAGTGCTTCGGCTGGAAGCAACACATCTGCGGCGGGACCCCCGGAGGACCAGCAGACGCTGCTGGCGGTCCTGCAGTTCCTCAAAAAGAACAAACTGACCGAGTCCGTGGACATTTTGCGTCGTGAAGCGGGATTACCGGAGGATTCACTGGACCTGAAGGTGGGCGGCGACTCCGGGGCAGGTTCGGGTGGTGCTCCGGGAGATGGGAGCACAGAAGGCGGGGATGCGAGCTCTCTTCTCAGCCGGGTGACCACCGCATCCTCCGCTGTAGCCCCGGCGCCAACTAAAGGTCCGATATACAACTTGGCTGCTGTTCTTTTGTTGCGTGAAACGCTGTTGCATCGTGAATCCCAATGTCTGTTCATATAGTAAAACCCAACGTTAGTGAGAAGTATGTCCCCCATGAATTATAACTATAGAGTTACTATAATCGTGCTCTCAATGACCAGAAATACATAAACTACAATATGTTGCTCCCAACTCCTCCCTCAGAGTCTCGGTTAAAGTTTCATGAAGGCGGTGTGTATTGCAGCGATGGGTGAGTTACACTGTAATGTGCGAGTGTTGTGTGTTTCTGGTCGTTGAGTTTCTGATGTGTTCACTACACTTCCTCGTGGCTTTAGGGGAGCCAAAGTTATTCATTCAGTTAAATTCACCACAAGTGTTACTTTGCATTTCAGTTCAAGTGTAATTGCAAAAGTGAAGACGCAAAACCAATTGTGTTGTTCAGATAATTCTGTCATAACTGAAGAAATTACTCCACTTTTTCCACACTGGCTCAGTTGTCATCTCGTTTAAAAGTTGTGTTATAAAGCAATGATATTTCTATCTTTACCTAAATGACAGTTACGGTAATCTAAAAATAGAGAACTAACACAATATAGTTTTAAAGCTCAATGCACATCTCACCGAGACTTCTTCTTCTTCTTCTTCAACAGTTGTTGCGGAGGACCAGCCAGACGTCAACGTGGTGCTGTCAGCCTACAGCCAGCAGGGAGACCCGAAGCTGTACCCGGTTTACTACAGCGGCCTGAAGAGGTTCATAGAATCGGTTCTGGACTGCCACCGAGCGGAGCTGTCCCAGGTCTTCTACCCGCTGTTTGTGCACATGTATCTGGAGCTGGTGTACAACAATCTTGAAAGTGAGGCGAAGGCGTTCTTTGACAAGTGAGTTTCCTTGACGTTCTAATTACAAACACTTAACTTGATATTGTTTTAGCGTTGAATCCTGCACAGGTGATAAACCGTACCTCATTTGTCTCTCGCCAGGTTCAGCGGTGATCAAGAGTGTTACTACGCAGACGACTTGCGTGTTTTGTCCAGCCTGTCCAAGAGGGAGCACATGAGAGGCAACGAGACCCTGCTGGACTTCCGCACCAGCAAGTTTGTCCTGCGTATCTCCCGCGACTCGTACCAGCTGCTGAAGAGGCACCTGCAGGAGCGTCAGAACAACCAGATCTGGAATATCATACAAGAGCACCTCTACATTGACATCTTCGATGGCATGCCGCGCAGCAAGAGCCAGATCGACGCCATGTCTGGCAGCTTGGCAGGAGAAGGCAAACGAGAGGCCAATAAGGCGAAGGTTGGATTTGTACACCAACACACAAATGTGTTTTTCTTTGACTCACCGTGCTTATTTGCCGCCACAATTGTTGAATTCATGACATGTTCTTGTTTTATTATCATTAATTCAGGTTTACTATGGACTGCTGAAGGAACCAGAGATTGAGCTGCCTCTTGATGATGAGGATGAGGAGGCAGAGAATGAGGAGGGGAAACCCAAGAAGAAGAAACCCAAAAAGGACAACATGGGCTCCAAGAGCAAGAAGCAGGACCCTAACGCACCGGCACAGACCAGGTAGAGCTAAACATTCCAAACATATGTCCCACTTTATCTCCTGTTGCACTGTGTGTGAATGACGTACGCTGACAGGAAGTAAACATGGACCCAAGCTGTTGTTAGCAGAGCAGAAGTTATCTGCAGCGTTGAGGGACACTTCAGTGAAACAATATTGCATGAATTCAAACTTCTAATTTGAAGGAAATTACTTTTCCACATACAGTTATTGATTTTATTACTTTCAACAATCCTTGAACTGCTTGTGGATCCACCAGTCAGTGACAGTTGACATTTTTGTTTTTTCAGGATCCCTCTTCCAGAACTGAAGGATTCAGACAAGCTGGACAAGATCATGTACATGAAGGAGGCCACCAAGAGAATCCGCCTGGGACCAGATAACCTGCCCTCCATCTGCTTCTACTCTTTTCTCAACGCGTACCAGGTAATAACTCACAGCCCAGCGGTCGATGGAGCGTTCGTTGTAAACTACACGAGAATCATTTCTAATTATCCTCACAGGGTCTGACTGCGGTGGACTTCACAGATGACTCCAGCCTGATCGCAGGAGGCTACGCTGACTCCACGGTACGGGTGTGGAGTGTCACACCGAAAAAGCTCCGCAGGGTCAAGTCTGCAGCAGGTACAGTGCAAGACTGTGACCATCGCAGCCCAGCTCGATGTTTCTCTGACTTTCTATAACACGAGGCTCTTCTTCTCGCTCAAGACTTGAATCTAATCGACAAAGAGTCGGACGATGTGCTGGAGAGGATCATGGATGAGAAGACGTCCAGCGAGTCAAAGATCCTGTATGGACACGGTGGCCCGGTGTATGGCATCAGCTTCAGCCCAGACAGGTATAAGAGCAACGATGTCTTTATCTGTGTAGCCCTCATCAAAACAAAGTTAGTTCTTAGTAATAAGATTAAAGCATGTAAAATAGTTTCTGTAGCTTTAAGATGTAACATAGGTGGTATTCTGGCAATGTTCCTTAGTTGATAAAAGCATGTTTGCACAGTTATCTGTATTGTGCTGCTCACAACTTAGATTGCAGTCAAACAAGACGGCAATATTTCAAGCAACAGGCCTGGTGTCTTCAGACGGGCACCCAGTAGATGGCAGTAGTTGAATGTTTGTGTTGCTGGAGACAATAACAAGAATTTCTGTTTTGGTTGAGTTCAATTGAAGGAAATTATGAGATATCCACTTTCTTACATCTATCACTCCTGTAAATAAGTGAGCGTACTGTGTTCAGTGGGCTTTATTAATCATTTAATTGTTAATCTTTGTGTCTTACATTATAACATTATTATTGTCAGTCTGTGCACATGATGTTGAGAGACCCCTGACTAATATAACTCTGGTAATTCCTTCTCGTTTTGTCTCTCAGAAACTACTTGCTATCAAGTTCTGAAGACGGTACAGTCAGGCTGTGGAGTCTCCAAACATTTACTTGTCTGGTGGGCTACAAAGGTCACAACTACCCAGTGTGGGACACCCACTTCTCCCCCCATGGGTACTATTTTGTCTCCGGGGGACATGACAGAGTTGCCCGGTAAGAAACAGTTTTTCCTCATTCTTCAGTAACAGAGAAAAACACCCTGCGGACACACAGCAGCCCTGTCTACAGATGTTTCACATTGTGCTTTCTTTAACAGTCTCTGGGCGACGGATCACTACCAGCCTCTGAGGATATTTTCTGGTCACCTAGCTGATGTCACCTGCACCCGCTTCCACCCCAACTCCAATTACTTGGCCACAGGTTCTTCTGATCGCACCATCCGACTCTGGGACGTCCTGAACGGAAACTGTGTGCGCATCTTCACCGGTCACAAGGTCAGACGAGTCACCAGAGCAGAGCCCCAAATCTGTGGTTTCTACTTCTGCAGCAGGGCCGTGTCATGAAAACCTCGTCTGTGGTCTAAAGTCATGAAATTAAGCATTTACAAATGTAAATCTTGGAGCAACACCTCTATAGTTTCTGATGGAGGCTATAAAGTAATGCTATTCAGAGAATTTGCTTTACACCCACAGAGTTAAATATGCTAAAGAGTCACAGGTTTATACGACAGCACAGCGAGCAGAATTGACTGCTGCAGAAACCGCTACTCAGCCAGCCTTCAACCATGTCTTCCAGGGTCCTATCCATGCGCTGGCCTTCTCTCCAAATGGTAAGTTTTTGGCTTCAGGAGCCACGGATAGCAGAGTTCTTCTGTGGGACATCGGTCATGGGCTGATGATTGGAGAGCTTAAAGGCCACACAGACTCCATCTACTCCCTCCGGTTCAGCAGAGACGGAGAGATCCTCGCCTCCGGTGAGTGACGTCTTTTAATTTGATATAAGTTAATATCTATTCACTATTATGTAGCTGAATGCATTAGTAGCCATCGTTTAAGAAAATCAGATTTAGAGAATGATTAAGCTACAGTAGACTATACCCCTGCAGTCTTTATCTGTTGGTTTCAGTGTATTCACATGCAGATTTGAGTGGTTCGTCTTCAGTTACGCTTGCAGTGACGGTGCGTAATCTTGTTATTCTAGGCTCGATGGACAACACGGTTCGTCTGTGGAATGCTACGAAAGCATTTGATGATTTAGAGACCGATGATTTCACAGCGGCTACAGGACACGTCCATCTACAAGATAACTCCCAGGAGCTTCTGCTGGGCACCTACTTGTCAAAATCCACACCAGTCATACACCTTCACTTCACCCGCAGGAACCTGCTGCTGGCCGCTGGTGCCTACAATCCATGAGACATTACTGAACTATGAGAAAACAATCCATAGACGCTTGAAATGAAGCGAATCTAGTCCCCATGCTCAAAGTAATTGAAGAGGTGTGTGGTGCAGTTGGAACAAAACTGCATTATCAACAAATCATTGCTGGTGAAAATTGAATGAAGATACAAATACGGTTCGCCGACTCCTGTTCTGGCCACAAATCAAGCTGATCTATTGCAGACATCCCTTCGCCATGACAAGTGCCATTGTTGATCGAGGACTGTTTTCCTTTTAAATCACTGCCATGAGTACAGCTCTGTTCAATGCGTGGCTGACATTTCTGTGTCATAGTATTTTATATTGGTGTACACTGTAAATAAAAACATGTTTTCTATGTTTTGGGCATAAATGTTCTTTATTGTTAACACAGGGAAACCAAACAGTGATATTTTATTACAAGCATGTCCAGATGCTTTCTCCTCTCCCAGCTGTTAGAAACGGTGGTCGAAAAGGACGCCTGTAAGGAGACAATGAGGACCTTAAATGAACGGAGCATTGCTTTCCTGAAGTACAATGGATTTGGAAAACAATGGGATGTAGAGACTTACATGATCACTTCTCTGTGACAGCGGCCTGTTTCTTGGGCTTCAATTTGAAGAAAAGGCCGATGGCTAGTAGACTGGCATATGTGGCCAAAACACACTAAACAAAACAAAAAGGAGGCATGATGGGAATTTCACAACAGACTCCCTGTTAAGCATGAACATACAGTTTATTTATGGAAAAGTTGAACACAACTCACATTCCTCCTTCCTGTGATTGTGTATGCATTGAAGTACTTTGCAAAGCCAGTGAACTGGTGCTGGGTTGCGTCGTGTCCTCCCATGATGGGTTGTTAATGGTCCTATAACAAGGAGAATAAAAGTGAGTGATTAATAATAGTATACGAGTTAAGTTCAATCTTTACCTTGGCTACAGTAACCTTGTGTGTAACAACAAAATCTGGAGCTGAAACAAATAGTCGACTGACAGAAAATGAATTGGGAGACACTTTGATGATTGCAGTTTAAAAGATCCCGTTAAGTTATTATTTAGACTTATATGTTGGTAACCCGAATATATTTGAATTATTTCTGGGTTTTGGACTGTTTGTTGCACAAAGCTTCATTTGAAGAAGTCACCTTGCGACCTGGGAAACTGATGTTTTACTAGATTCATAACAAATTAAATCGAAAATCAAAAAGCAGATTAGGACATTTAAATTGGTATTAGTCACACAGCACTGGAATTTAATTAATACGACTTGACAGCTCTTGACAGTACGGAGAGAGGGGAACAAACTAATTCCACGTTAGCTAAACAGAGTGTACTGTACTTGTTACACGTTCAACTTCACTGGTGGTTGGTTTAACATCTAATCCAGCTAGCATTAATATGTCAAGAGGCTAAACACATGCTTTAACCCAATACTTCTGCATAACATTCAGGCTTAACCCACATTTTATTCAGACTGACTTTCATCGGCCAGTAACTGCATAGCTCGTTAGCTAGCACGCTCGCTAGGTTAGCCCGCTAACGTTAGCTAGTTGCATTTTCAGACCGCTGGTTAAATTCTACATTACCACAGATGCATTTTAAAGAGGACATGGGTACATTACTACTCGGCGTTGCTGAACAAGCAGTGAATGTCGTTATTTGTTTCTACATGTGTTGTGACTTACCTTTACGGCTCGACCCCTGTGCAAACAGAATGAAACAAGTGCCCTTCAGCTGAGGCCGCGATGCTAGATCTGTTAGGAAGTCCCGCCTACTCTGGTATTCCAGAAGTTTGCCGTTATTGGTCCAAAATAATGTCACTCAATGTTAGCGTCTACAACGGCCACTGAGTGGCTAATAGTGGTGTCAATCACCTTTTCCTGTCTGTGATTGGAGAAAAAATGAAACGCCCACATACATTTTTCTTCCGGGTTGAGGTCATGGCGTGCTGCTGAACAACATGTGAGTTTTTGCCGGAGATTTAATGTGAGGAGAGATTTCATGATAAACACTGAAATCACCATTTGATATACGTTTAGATCGAAATCGATTTTGTCTCTACACGACTAGGCCTTTTATCTGCTGACAAACACGCTTTTATGTTTAGCCCTAGTGCTAAAACACGCTACAGGTAGCGTTAACTAATGTTGCCTCGTGCATTTTGAGTGGTAACTTTATGTGCAGCAGTGTTGCGTCTGATTCTAACGGACTTGGTTGTATTTTTCTAACTAATCGGTTAATGTATTTACATAGTGTTGAATGTGTCACACAGTGTCTGATTAGAGAGAGAGAGCGCCAAGCTGTTGTCTGTGTCTCTCCTGATGCATCATTTATATGCATCTATATTATCAGTAATAGTAACTCACTCCTACGTTAAACACGATGATTGAGTTACATGAGAGGCACAAGCTGGGTCTTAGGATAACCAAACTGTTTGTATCGTCAGCTCAGGTTAGAGGTTTTAAAACAATAAAATGTCTTTGATTTTTCTTAGACGTTGAAACAACATCAAACATGGCATCAGTGGAAGAAGACTTCCCTCGAGGAGGAGGAGGAGGGGCCGCGAAGAAGCCCACTGAGAGTAAGATAGAGGTGCAGCGGACAGAAGTGGACAACTTGTTCCAGGTAGAGGTCTACTCTTTTCTATCTTCATATCCATACTGCTGTCAAAAGAAAAGACTTCACAGAACTGGGTAAAAGTGTGAATAATGAGGATTATCACACAATATCAGGCAAAGTATTATTCTAACTGACATCAGTGCATTACTGAAGTGGTCATGGTATCGCTTTCCTTTCTCACACACACACGCTGTAATTGAGCGTTGTTTATGTTTTGTATACTTAGTCTCACGTTAGGCGGTATCAGTAAAATGACCTCCACAGTGAAGGACGGTTTGCTTTTCTCTCGCAGTCCAAAGAACAAACCGAGACTAAGAAAAGAAAAGGGGCGGGCCAGGATGCCGGCAAGAAGCTCAAGAAGCCAAAGACGGGCAAAGGAGACGGTCTGACGCTGAATGCAGCGGCCAAGTGTGTGGAAATTCTACACATCAAGGTAATAAATACATCGTGTGTTTGTAATTTGTCAAATGTGATAAGTAGGTTAGTTTTAGTGTTAGACTACCGTTATTCAAAAGCGCAGTAAGCACAGTATATAAGTTTAATATTGTGTGTGTTTTCTACATTCCCAGAATTTGAAGGAGGGTATCCTGATGCTGGGCTGTGTGAAGGAGGTAACTGACTTTGAGGTGACCGTCAGTCTGCCCTGTGGCATGCAAGGCTTCCTCAGCATCATGAACATCTGTGACTCCTACACCAAGCTGATCAGCGAGCAACTGGATTCAGCTGATACAGAGGTACGATTCGTCTAAAATCAGATAGCAACCTACATTAGACTTTTTTTTATGTCTTAGAGTTTACTCATGTACCAGGATATTTAGTAATATCTAAGAGATGTATCTTGTGTTTTTACTTCCCAGGACATCTGCTCTCTACGGCATCTCTTCTACCCTGGCATGGTGTTCAGGTGTGTGGTTGCCAAGTTGGATGTCACCAAAAGAGGCTCTCTTAGCATCCAGCTGTCAATCAATCCAAAGCTGGTGAACAAGGCTCTCACCTCTAGCTCTCTGAAAGCTGGTATGGTGAGTCACTAGTGGTCTTCAGTTAAATATTTGGTAAAAAAATAATTTCAATTCAACAATTTATTGTAATGTTATTTTGTGACGCCTCAGGCCGTGAGTGGATGTGTGGAGAGTGTGGAGGATCATGGCTACATAGTTGACATTGGCCTCAGTGGAACCAAAGCCTTCCTGCCCAAAAAGACAGTAAAAGACAAACACAACAACACGGAAGGTATGACAAAGTATTTCATTGCCTGTTATTTGCTGTGGAAATAATCTCAGTCAATTGCATCCTTTCACATCCAGAGTTGTAGCAAAGCAGTTGTTTCACTCATAAAGTAACAGATCGGAAAAAAAGCATGAATGCATGTCGCAAGCTTTTGTGTGTTCTCGTGTCTGCAGAGCTGAAAGTGGGTCAGTATTTGACTTCTCAAGTGGAAGAAGTAAAGAATGAAGGACGTGTGGTCCACCTTTCTGTCAGCCCTCCGACCGTCGCCCAGGCCTGTGCTGAATCAAAGCAGGGCTGGACCCTCACCAACCTGCTGCCCGGCCTCCTGGTCAAAGCTACGATCAAAAAGGTAGAGGGCACACCTTTTATTTTGGTAAAGAGTACATCGTCTCTCGTGTGCCCTGCTGCATGAAGCCTGGGAGTGGGTGGAGAACAACATGAAGGGATGAATGTTGGGATAGTAGAACTACAATCGCCCCTGCATACGCTTGCTCTAAGAGTCACTATCGCAACTTCAGTGGTAGCCATGTTTCCTTTGAATAACGTCTACATGTTTGTATTGCAGGTGACCAAACACGGTCTGATCCTGGACTTCCTGTCGTCCTTTAGTGGCCAGGTGGACGTTCTCCACATGGAGCCAGAGCAGACGTCCAGCTACGCTGAGGGAACTGAGGTAAAACCCATCCGTCAATGTTTTCCGCTCGTTGATGTGGTCACTCAAATGGATATTTTTGCATTGAAATGCACCTAATTATAACGATCTTAAACAAGGGTGCTAAATGTTGCCAGTTAACGGATTACCATGTGTTTATATTGGAGTATAAACTTGGTAGGCTAACCCTGTTTTGCATCGATGCACCCAGGTGCGAGCCTGTGTGCTGTATGTGGAGCCGTCCGCCCGTCTGGTGGGCCTGAGCCTGCGCAGCCACCTCGTTCAGCCCGGGGCCGGAGTGGACCACGCTCCTGCTGGAGGTGACCGCATTGGCGAGGTGGTGAAGGACTGCAAGATGATCGCGATGCACCACATGTCTGGAGCCATGGTGGAACTGCCAGACAAAACGTTGGCCTTTGTACACGTGAGTCACGGTGACGTTTGAATGTTAAAGCCTGCTTTGACAATTACGAAGAATAGATGCTCTCTGTGAATATTCTGCTGACTCGGCATTAGGGTAATAACATAAATGTATCCGTGTTGACAGAGGAACCACCTGAAGGAGGTTAATGAGCCGGCTAATGAAAACAGAGTGCTGGCTATGACTGAGCACACCTGCAGGATACTGGACTTCAGCCCCATGGACCAGATTCATTTCGTTAGTCTGCGGAAGTAAGTTGCACCTCATACATGTGTTATTACATAGTAATAATGCACTTTACTATTTCAATGTGATGTATTGACAATTGTCTTTTTTTTTTTTTCTTGATTTCAGGAGTGTGATCGACAAGCGTTTTTATAGATATCATGATCTTGAGGCCGGTCAGGTTGTAGAGGTAAGAATAAAAGCATCACCATGTGTGTTTGAATCAAAGGGATAGTTTGACATTTTGAGACGTACTTTTATTTGCGTTGTTGCAGAGAGTTAGATGTGGAGCTCGATACCACTTTGTTAAATATGAAACTACAGCCAGCAGCCAGTTAGCTTAGCATAAAGACTAGAAACAGTCAAATTTTCCGGCCTCGTTCTGCTCGCTCACTGTGTCTATTGTCTGTCTCACTTTGTCCGTCTCCCTTCAAGGGGACAGTGTCAATCCTGCTTGATCACGGCATGGTGGTGCATCTGTCTGACCACATTAGAGGCCTGGTGCCCCGGACACACCTGTCCGACATCCTCCTCAAGAACCCAGAGAAGAAGTACGTGGAGGGCATGAAGATCAAATGCCGGGTCAGTATAGTTTGTTTTAAAGCCGCCGAGATAACCGCGAGAATAAGATCTGTGTGGCAGATCTCAGCTTTCATATTTTGGTGTGAATATGTTCCTTCAGGTGCTGTCAGTAGACGCAGAGAATAAGAAGCTGTACCTGACCAGAAAGAAGGCTCTGGTTGAAAGCTCCCTGCCATTGTTCCTCAGCTATACCGATGCCCGTCTTGGCTGCGTGTCCCACTGCTACATCGTCTGCATCAAAGACTTTGGCTGCATTGTTCGTTTCTACAACAGCGTCAAGGGTCTGGTGCCGCTCAACGAGCTCAGCTCTCAGCCGATCGTCTGTCCTGAGGAGGTCTTCTATGTGGGGCAGGTGAGGAGATCAGACAGCATGGACATTGAGGATCATGTCTGGGTTTTTTGCCTTTGTTCCAGATGTTTGGGAACATTTTATGAACAAGACTTTGACTGTGACGTATTCGGCATCTGCTAAGTTTGTTTTCCGTTGATCGTCCAGGTGTTAAAGGCTAAAGTTCTTAAGTGTGACCCCGATAAGGCGAAGATGGTGCTCTCATTTAAGGCCGCGGTGGAGGGAGACACAGAGGAAGCTGCCACGCCCCAGTTGGACTGTGAGCTGGGGAAGGTAAGTGTCTCTCTGTTTATTTAAAAGTAATTTAATCTCAATTCAGCAATTGTTTGACCTCAACGTGTGTATTTGTGTGACGTAGAGGCTGGAGGCTAAAGTGCTGAAAAAGTCAGTCAATGGTCTGGAGGTGGCCATCCTCCCCGATGAGATCCGTGCCGTACTACCCACAATGCACCTTTCTGATCACATGTCCAACTGCCCTCTGCTGTGGGAGAGTATGCAGGAGGGAGACAACATCTCAAACCTCATCTGCTTCACCAAGAACAAGCAGAATATTGTATCCTGGATGAAAGAGTCTGTATATGTTGTGTGAGGGAACCTCAACCTGCTGTGATTGATTGATTCTGTACAGTATTCATTATTTTTGCCACCCTTTGATGCTTATCTAGACATACATTTCCTAATTATGAAACGCAGGGCAGTTGTTGTTGCTCTCCTTAGCTGCTCCTCTGTTAAAGACTGTCACCAAGAAACCAACGGTGAGATGGTCGCTGGAGGAAGGAGTTGTTGCCAAGGACTTCTCTGAAGTCACAGTTGGAATGCAGCTGATTGGCGTCATCAAGAGCATCATGTCTTACGGCGTCTTTGTGGAGTTCCCGTACGGCATCGTTGGTCTCGCACCCAAGTCTGTAAGTAAAGGGCTTAATCTTTACATCTTGTTTCTTCTCTACTTCTAAGCCGTTTATGCATTTTCTCTACTAAAATTCTCCCTCTGCGTTGCTTCTTCTTTTTTTAGGCCATGACAGACAAGTTCATCAGCGATACAACAACCGCCTTCCAGCCGGGCCAGACAGTGTTCGCTAAAGTGACCAACCTGGATGTAGAAAAACGGCGTTTCCTGGTCACGCTGAAGATTTCAGAGGTCATGTCTCCAGAGGGCGACGCCCAGACGAGACTCATTAATGGCCTGCAGGAGAGAAGAGCTGTGACTGAAATGTTCGCTATGAGAGGTGTGATTGCGTTGGTCTTTAATTCTTCATTTGAAGTTTGTCTTCAGTGTCTTAACATCTCATTGTCTCCGTCGCTCCTCTCAGAGAACAGTGATCTACGCCAGCAGCTGGCTGCTCTGACTGTTGGTCAGAAGCTGAAGTTGACTGTAGACACTGCGAAGGACAGCGGTGCCACCTTTAAGTCTGATGATTTGGTCGGTGCTACCATAATGGCCACCAAGCACCATGTCATAGGTGTGTATTTAAACAGAAATGTATTTGAGATCCTCACCATGTCTATTCCCCTTATCGATCTGCACATGTAAAATCGGTGGAGTCCCTTCAACCGTGAAGCTTTGGGGCCCCCTATGAAGTAAACTCAATACGTACCCTGTAAAGTGGTGTTTTTTCATCTCTGATTGGACAGATTATTGTCTTTTTTACCTAATTGACACCAGTGTGTCCCACCCCTTGCAGACAAGACTCATCTGTCATATGTTGCATTGTTACCTTCAGCATATTATGAATTGTCTTTACTTTTGCAAAATCACTTTGTGTGAGCTGCTGTGTGTAATTGTCTGTTGGCTGCACTGTTTCCAGGTGTTAGTCTGACCTCAGGTCAGAAAGCTACTGCGGTCGTCCTCCATGTTGACATCCTGTCAACCTGTGTCCATGTGTCCATCCTGTCCAAGCTGGTGGCGAAGAAGAAATCTGTGAGTATTTCTTCCTTTACTGCGGTTTTTGGTGTTTCAAAACAATGACAATGCTTTGACTGAGCACGCATTCTCTGGAGCCACCTTATATTTCATACAAATGTATTTATTAAATGTCAGGGCACTTGGATACGGTCAGATTATCATTTTAAATGTTATTGTCCTTTTGTCATGTTTGTTTTCATCTCTACAGTTAGCTGAAGGATCAAAGTACACAGCGATGCTGCAGCACATCAACAAAGACTTTGCCATCATCTCACTGGGTGACACGGCACAGCTGACTGTGATCCAGACCAGCAGCCACCTGAATGAGATATTTCTGGTCGAGTCAGAGAAGCTGAAGGCGGGGATGAGTTTGTCCGTCGAGGTCATAGAACCCAGCTGCCAGGAACTGCAGGGGCTCGCCCTGGTGTCGTGGGAGCGCACTTCCCCGAAACGACAGCGCACGACATCGGAGAACCAGACGAGCGCTACGGGTCACCGCTTCGGGGACATCGTGCGCGGTAAAGTGCGGACTGTGAAGCCCGCCTCCATTCAGGTCACACTAGAGGACGGAAGTACAGGCAGCGTGCACGTGTCGGAGGTGGTGGAGCTTGCAGAAGTGTGTAAGGGATCCTTCCCCACGTCCACGGTTAAAGTGGGCAGTGAGGTCACCGCCAGGGTCATCGGAGGACGCGAAGCCTCCAGCCACAGGTAGGGAATGCTGACGGGGCTCGTTTTACATGTTGGAGTACACTTTTCTAATTGCAAGTTCCTTCTTTTGTCACATTGTTTTTATTCCATTCTTAATTAAACAACCACTGTAAAAGGGTAAAATTGAATGTGATGTATTATGTGTTAAGTTGCATTGAACTTGAAATTAATCTCAAGTTTCTTATTTCAGATTCTTGCCCTTCTCCCATCCCAAGTTTACCTACCCCATCCCCGAGCTCACACTCCTACCCAGGTAACTGTATAGACCGGTTCATTGAGCATCGTTATGATCATGATATACTGCACTTTCGCCTTTTTGTGTTAATAAAATATTATGCAGAGATTAGAAATACTAATTACAGTGATATAAACCTGTAGTAATGTTATGGCTGTTCATATTTTATGTCAGGATGTGTATTTTGTTCTGTTATCACCCCAATGCAACACATTTTGCAGTTGGTCTGTTTCTTATTTCTTATTGTTTCTTTTTCATCTCTGCAGCAAACTGGATACAAGTGAAGATTTCAAAGCCGTTACAGTGAAACAGAAGCTAAACAGCTACACGGTCGGGGAGCAAATGACATGCTTTGTATCAAAGGTATGTTTGGGAGATCATAGTGGCTTGCAGTAGCTTGCTCTATTTCTTTCTGGCAGTTTCCACAAAATGCACTCTTTGGTCATAAGTTTACAAATCAAAAATGAATCAAAAACAACTTTAAAGGTGCAAAAGTGCAGAAGAGGTTTTCAGTGTATTCGTGCTTCTTCTGCCTCCAGTTTAATCCAGAGAGGAAGTCTCTGGAGGTCACCACGGATCCTTGTGTTACTGGGACAGTCGACCTGCTGGCCATGATCACCGACACAAAAGTAAGTTTTAAAGTATTTCATAAGAGAACGTGTGTGGGATCATTTTTAACATTTTAAAGATGAGATTAACCTTCATTTCGAACGGCTGCGATTGTCTAAATTCTGTTTATTTTCAGGATGCAAGCCACCCGGAAAAAATGTACAAGCTGGGCCAAGCGGTCCGTGCCACAGTGGTAGAAGTGAACTCCAAACCTCAACGTTTCGTGCTGTCACTCACAGGTTTTTGTTTTTTTAAATTGTTATTGCTTCACGCTTCACGTGGCTGTTGCACTTTTGTTCGCTTCAGATTGTTTATCAAATACAAAGACACTGATTCTGTATTTCCTTTTGTGTTCAAGGTGTCCATAAGCTGGAGAAAGGCAGCGTAACTTTGGGGATGGTCACTAATATTCAGCCACAACTTGGCCTCCTGGTCAAACTTCCCTTTGGCAACTCGGGCACAGTTGCTGTCACTGACCTGGCTGATGCCTACAGGCCGAACCCGCTGGACGGGTACAGCAAGGATCAACTGTTGAGGTCAGGAGACGCAGCAGTATGTGCTGCACATATGAGCACAGTTAGACTGATCGATCAGGACAGTTTGATGTTTTAAATTACAAACTGTGGAGAACTAAGTTAGCTAATGTTTTAACTGTAGTTCAGGTCAAACAGAATAAACAGTTTGAATCATTAGTAACTTGTTGTTATGGTTGTAAATGTATTTCACTTTGCTCAGGATACATTTATATGCAACTGCCGGCACACATCAACTATCAGCAGCTACAATTAAATAAAAACATCTTAGTCCCACTATCAGACCTTAAATCCCATTTAGATTCTTTTGAAGTGAAAAGTTTATTTTTGCCTCTTCTTGTGCTGCAGGTGTTTCCTCCTCGGGGATGAAAATGGCAAGTGGCAGTTGTCTCTACGTCCATCAAGGTAAGTTCCGTTGGATTTGTGTATCAAATTCAGACGCGTATCTCAAAACAACGTCTGTTTGACCGTAACTCTGCTCGTCCAGGCTGAACCCACAGCAGACCAAGCCGGTGAAGGACCCCGACGTCTTGTCTGTAGACAAACTGAAGGCAGGCCAGATCATCAGAGGCTACGTCAAGTCTGTGGGAGAGCAGGGCGTCTTCATCAGGTAAGTGAACTTCAGCTTTAGACTGGACAGACATCACATTCATATTTAAACTCCATAGAAACATACAGACTTCTAAAAGGAACCTCATGAAAATGTAGTTCCAGGTTCAGTTATCTCGGCAATTATCATCTTCATCCTCATTTCATGTTTTTCTTCCAGGTTGTCGAGCAGCATCACGGGAAGAGCTCAACTGCAGCAGTCCACCAAGTACTTTGTCAACAACCACAAGGTCCTCTTTAAGCACCTGACCCCCAACACCCTGCTCACTACCAAGATCCACAGGTAAACACAGCTCCAGGTCTCCTTCTGTAGTCCAAGAGTGTTTGAAAATAAAACATACAAAAGGAAGGATTCATCGTAATCAACATCAAAATAATCGATTTGGACAAACAGCTGATGTTGTGTCTTTCCATAACTTGCCCGGTGCAGCTTTAGGTGACAGCCATTTATAGAGTCAATGCTGTCGTCACGTCTGCAGCTCTTTCTATTCTCGTCCTCAGTATTGACGAAGAGGAGGAGTTGGTCCACCTCTCTCTGCTCCCAGGGGACACCGGGAAGCCGGACGTCCTCCCAGAGTCTCTCGGCCTGCCGCTGCGTCTGATCGGAGAGGAGAAGAAGGAATACGACTCTAAGAAGAAGAAGCGCTCAGCGTCTGAGAGTGAGCAGGTAACAAACGGCCTTTCCTTCCTTCCTTCCGTCCTGCTTTTTGTATTAAATAGTAAACGCATGGTAGATGAGCTTTACTGTGGTTTCAATTGTCAGAAACAAGCAGAGTCCCAGGTGCCAAAGAAGAAGAAGAAAACTAAAAAAGCAAAGACTGATGACAGTGACAGCGGAGTGAAGGTGTACTTCAGAGAAGAGGAGGATAAGGGAGACCAAGAAGAACCCAAATCTGTAAAAGTAAGCGAGTACACTGCTGTTCAGTATCGTTTACATGCATACAAATCGCCATAGATTTGGTTCAGTGATATTGTTATGCAGAACCTGAAAGATGCATGTGCTGCTCCTCTTTGTCAGCAGGTGAGGCCCAGCTCAGCGGGTCTGTCCAGACTGCAGGTGGCAGCAGGTTTCTCCTGGGACGTGCACCTGAGCTCCCTGAAACCTGCCTCTACAGCGCAGGAGGGCGATTCCAGTGATGGAGAGGACCAAGATGGAGGCAGCAAGGTGAGCTGACCATGAATATGCATACATGTATAACTTTAGGTTTATTAAAGGAATTCAACTTCCTGTCATCGTTTTTGTAAAGATTATCTCTAAAAGTCTTATTTAGAACATCTTCCGGTTTCCGTCTCTGTATCTCAACACTTTCTACCATTATACTCTTCGTCCGTCACGTCTTCACCGCTCTCCTCGACCAGCCCCAGAAGAAGTCTCGTCACGAGCTTCAGCAAGAGAAAAAGGCGGCGGAGAAGGCCCTGGTACAGCGGGAGACGGAGCTGATGGATCTGAGCCTGCGGCCTCAAGATGCGCCCGCCTTCGAGCGCCTGCTCCTCGCTTCACCCGACAGCTCGCTGCTCTGGCTCCAGTATATGGCTCACCATCTACAGGCCACCCAGATCGAGCAGGCCCGCGCTGTGGCCGAGAGGGCCCTAAAAACGATCTCCTTTAGGTGATTGAATTATAGATGCATATGTGTTAGCTGAGGAGGTAAAGTAGTGTGTCCACATCTGTTACAATACGCTGTGTTGAGGCACGGTTTGACTTATTTCTGTGTACAAACCTGCACCCGTCCAGGGAGGAGCAGGAGAAGCTGAATGTGTGGGTGGCCCTGCTGAACCTGGAGAACATGTACGGCACAGAGGAGAGCCTGAAGAGAGTGTTTGAGCGAGCGCTGCAGTTCTGCGAGCCCATGCCCGTGTACCAGCAGCTCGCCGACATCTACGCAAAGTGCGACAAGACCAAGGTACGATCCACTGAGTGCATTTGTTGAGACAGATGCTGGAACGCTGTGTTCTGTAGCCACTAACGTCTGCATCTCTACGTATGTCCAGGAGGCAGAGGGCCTGTACAAGACGATGGTGAAGCGTTTCCGTCAGAATAAAGCCGTGTGGCTGAGCTACGGGACCTTCCTGCTCCAACAGGGACAGAGCGACAGTGCCAGCGCTCTCCTGCAGAGGGCGCTGGCGAGTCTCCCCTCCAAAGAAAGTAAGACGGTTTACCCGAACACTGAACTGTATTCTTGGTGTATATTTCTATTGTTGTGCTGTACACCCACCCGCCATTGACTGAAACCAGCGAGTGCTCATCCCTTTGACTGTGTCAGAGTGCAGTGTGTGTGTGTGTGTGTGTGTGTGTGTGTGTGTGTGTGTGTGTGTG